AATTTCTTTTTCAACTCAAGCTACATTTAGCATTTGTCTGCGTTTCATGACAGCAGTGGACAGGAAGCAGGGAGAGTAGTATGCATTTGAGAGGAACTCCACAATTTATGAGAGCATTTTTTAGCTGCAAAAGATGATGTTAGCAAGTCACATGTGTTGCTGTCATTGGTGATAAGATAAATCTATGTGCCCGTCAGAGAATGCAATGTCATGTACATCAACCAATCAGACAAGAAACAGTGACATTAGAAGCATTGTGTGGGACCAAAAAAATTTTTTTTGATAACGCAAAAATAAATAATACCTGCTATGGAAGGGCTTAATCTGATCTTATTTTTTCTGCTAGCAGAAAAATACCTCAGGAAGTCTCTTGAGTCAAAATGGTTTTAAAAACAAATCTGAGGGAGGGTATAGCTCAGTGGCAGAGTGTGTGCTTAGCGTGCACGATGTCCTGAGTTTAATCCCCAGTACCTCCATGAAAATTAAAACAAAAAAAACCTAACTACCTCCTCACCCAACAAAAACAAATCTGATTATTATGTCTTCTTTGCTTTTCCAATTAATAATTAAATCATTGAAGTGAAATAAGACAGACACAAAGACAAATATTGTATGATTTTACTTGTATGAAGTACCAAGAGTAGTCAAACTCATAGAAACAGGAAGTAAGATGTGGGTGACCAGAGACTGGGGAAAGGGGGAGGGGTGTGGAAAGCTGTGGTTTTGTGGAAGCAGGGACTCAGCTGAAGGAGATAAAAAAGTTCTGGAGATGGATGGTGGTGATGGTTTGCACGACAGTGTGAAGGTACTTAATGCCACTGAAATGTACACACCTAAAAATGGTTAAAATGGTCAATTTTATGTTATATATATTTTTTACCACATTAAAAAAGTTAAAAAGTTGAATTATGTGTTTTGCTCATTTGGATCCAATGTTGTTTCTCTAGATGGGACTTAAGGTTGAACTACAATAATACAAAAGCTACTCTCAAGGAGAATTTTTTTTTTAAATTTTTAATTGAAAAAGTCAGTTTACAATGCTGTGTCAATTTCTAGTGTACAGCATAATGTCCCGGTCATACATATACATACATATATTCCTTTTCATACTGTTTTATTATAGGTTACTACAAGATACTGAATATATTTCTTTGTGCTATACAGAAGAAACTTGTTGTTTATCTATTTTATATCTAGTAGTTAATATCTGCAAATCTCGATCTCCCAATTAATCCCTTCCTACTCCCTTTCCCCCTGGTAACCATAAGTTTGTTTTCTATCTGTGAGTCTGTTTCTGTTTTATAAACAAATTCATTTGTGTCTTTTTTTTTTTAAGATTCCACATAGGAGTGATATCATGGGATATTTTTCTTTCTCTTTTGGCTTACTTCACTTAAAATGACAATCTCCAGGTCCATCCATGTTGCTGCAAATGGCATCATTTTATTCTTTTTTATGGCCGAGTAGTATTCCATTGTATAAATATAACCACAACTTCTTTATCCAGTCATTTGTCATCTGTTAATGGACATTTAGGTTGTTTCTATGTCTTGGCTATTATAAATAGTGCTGCTGTGAACATTGGGGTGCATGCATCTCTTTGAATTAGAGTTCCCTCCACATATGTGCCTGGGAGTGGGATTGCTGGATCAACCGGTAAGTCTATTTATAGTTTTTTGAGGAATCTCCGTACTGTTTTCCATAATGGTTGCACCAAACTACATTCCCACCAGCAGTGTAGGAGGGTTCCTTTTCCTCCACACCTCAAGGTATATGCTTTGAGGTAACACAAGGGTGGAAATGCAGTTAGTGACTGTTCACGACATTCTCACTGTGGGAAGGGCTAAAGAGCACATTGTGTCTTCTTAGCTACCTTCACCTTCTGTTTAGTCATCTCTTACCAGGCCTGAATTTAGCCTCAGAATATCTGAATCTGCAAGGCCTATGTCTATAAAACTAATTAAAAAACAATAAAATCCCAACAGTGACACTTACTGAGTACAAATTAAGCACCAGGCTTCCGTGCCAGACATGAAATAGGTCAAGAAAAAAGTTGTAGGAAGATTTACAAATATCTATTAGTTTACTAGCCTAACCTCACTACTTTGCTCTTTAAAATAAACAAGGCCCCACACATCCCATTTCAGAATTAAGAAAGCCAACAGACATTGCTCTGTGCCAGTAACCATGCCAAAGAACAGGCCAGCCAACAGTATTTGTGAAGCTCATCCTGTAGCTGATGGGGTCACATATTGTGAAGTGGAAATTTTTGAAGAAGTTGTACTTCAATCCATTAAAATTTCCTATGAAAAAGAGTTTGCAAGTAGAAGGGCTATTCTTTTAGAATCTGGTTCCATTATTATGGAAGGGAAATAACACATGAAAACAACAGTTCAAAACGAACCATAAATCCACCTTAAAGAAAAACCATGTCTGGTGTCTCTCCAGTGGCTGCGTTAACGTGGCCTGCGAGGAAGCCTGACTAGCAGGTATAATTAAAGCATGAATCACAGGAGTAAGTCATGAGTAACTCTGAAAGCACCTACAGGGAAAAGTCCATCCGAACATACTCAACTTTAGAGACTAAATGATAAAGGGTAGGAGGAAAAATCATAATTCCATGTAAATGCAATAATAGACCCCCCCGAATTTTTTTTTAAATGGGGAGGGCATAGCTCAGTGATAGAGTGTGTTTGGTACGCAGGAGGTCCTGAGTTCAATCCCCAGTACCTCCATTAGAAAAAAAATCTAATTACCCGCCCCCCACTTCCCCCAAAATGACATCCCTGAGTGGAAATACATTGATAATGGCCTCAGTGCATTATTGGTACGGCGTCTACGTGAGGCACTGTCACACAGCATAACCAGCTGCACGTGATACAGGTGCTCATTTTCTGTTTTCTATTCCGAGAACTGCTTGAGGTCAGGTAGGATGCTTTGTGTTTTTTATCTTTCCATGTAAATCACTTCTCTGCCTAGATCCTAATCATGTATCGAGCAGGCATAAAGCGTGCAATAACCTACATGAATGGGTAAATGATAACCTGTATCTTAGAATCTAGAACCAATCTGTCCTAACGTACAAGACTTTCAGAGAAAAAATGAAAATGGACACCCAACTTATTAAATGCTCTTTATCAAAGACTGTTGATACATTTTTAAAGAATTAATCACAGGACTTTCACTGAATGAAAAACAGGAAGAGATTGTTATATTTGACCCTGTTTCGTATCTCAGCAGTTGGCATTGGATTTAGTTGCTGGGAATGGCAACATGGCAAAAGTTGAAAGGAAACTATTTGTTTGGCCTAATGTTTTGTCTTTCAAGCTGTGCGATGAATAGATGTAAAATCCCATCAGGTGACAAACAGCCCCTCTGCATCTCCTATGACTCCACTAACTGACAAATAGCATTACTGCCAATCACCCGACCCCACCTTTCCAAACGAGAAGTATTCAACTGACAGACAAGAGTTAGGCAGATAAAGTTAAAAGGACTCTGATGGTAATTGGCCATTCTGCCAATATTTTGAGGTCTAATGATGTAAATATGGATGGAAAGTTAAGTCCAACTTCCCTGACTCAGAAGAATTAAAATCCAGACCATCAAATATACTGTTTACATCCTCTTATCAGTCTTAGTTTAAGGTTTCCATGTTATTTTTAACGTTCATGCGTACTTAAAAAAATGAAACTAAAAGTCTTGACAGATTCTGACACTTAATTGGGAAAAACGTAAAACACTTAAATGGAATTTTTCCCATGATCTGCAGAAGAGTTTTTAAACAGATGGTTCAAATGGACAAAGCAATGAAAACATAGAAATTAAAAGCAGATCCTTAAGAAAAATAACCGACTTTTCAGAAATCCTATAGATGCTGGCGGGACTAGATGTAAAGCAGCAGTTTCTCTTGCTGTCAAGGTTTCGAGAGAACAGAAATTTATTAGGTGATCCCTACCAGAGGAGGGGTAACTGCCTCTTGGTACGAATTAACTATTCATTTGGAACTTCAGCCAACTTCAACAATCTGAAAATCTCCAGGCTTGTAGGGCAATTCCATCCAGATGGTGATAAAAGATACAGTATTGTCATGCAAATAGATATTCTTCTAGAAGAAGAACGTCTAAGTCCAAGGTGCTTATTTGGGAAATAAAAATGACCTAAAGTCTTCCCACCTTCACAGCAACTTGGAAGAACTACAGCACCCACTAGCAGCCCAAGGCCCATGAAACTTCGTTCTGAATAGGAAAAAACCTGACTTTTCCAGGATGAATGCAGTGAACGGTGGGAAAGAGACAGGAGAACTTTTCCACGTGGAATTTACATGCATTCAGTGGAGACTCAACTAAGTAAAATCTAACCAAGTAAAATCTAATCCAACCTAAGTGAAATCTAAGTAAAATCAAATAAGT